TTGATATCAAAAATAATTTTTTAAAAATAAAAAATATTATTTTAATATATTATTAAATAAAAAATAACTGCAAATTAAGTTTTATTCGGAAACAAAACCAGAATAAATGGAGGAAGAATAAATAAAAAATTGAATGGCGGACAGTATTATACAATTTCACTTTCAACTCGCACATAATCTTCTACATCATGGCATCAAGTTGGCGTCGTGAAGTGTCCATTTGACAAGCATGAGATCATGCGTTGAAAGTATGGGATATTTTTGGATGAGTTTTCACACGCAGTGGCCGGATTTTCCATGATCCTCCCTCTAAATCTCTATTTTAAGCCAACCGAAGCGTAGCTTGAAATTGAATATATAATAATTTGGGGATTCCGAACCCCACTTCCATATTCAATAAATTAAAGGATATTTTGATGCTCCCAAGAAGATTCCAGCTATCCTCTTCCTCCTGTTACAAGACAAAGAGGAATCTTTTCATGAGGGCAACTGCTTGAATATTCAACCACTTGAAAGTCCAAACTTTACGATAAGAGACTATAAGAATTCACATGAAAGAAGACTCTAAGAATTCACATGAAAGAGGGTGCTTTTGTTTTCTACCTGTTTTTGTATTTATAGTGTAAAAAAATACAGTATGATGTTTAGTAATTATAAAAATTGTGTTTTATATCACATAACTCATTAAAACATTAAGTTTCAAAAATAATTTTTGTAAAGTAGTTTTTATATAATTATAGAGGTTTTGATTTGTCAATGTATCCTAACTAGCATATATATATATTGAAATTATTAAGTTGGTATATCCTAACTAGCATATATATATATATATATATTGAAATTATTAAGTTGGGTACAGCCATGAGTTTTTGTCAGCTTCCATGAACATGGCCGTATATAGCAAGCACCTCAATTTGCATTTTGTAGGCTGCGAAGTCTGGATTGCCGGCTGGACCATCTCATCTTCTTTCCCGTATCCACACATCCTCTTATCTCATTCAAAATCTGTGGATCTAACAAGTCAAAAGATACATTTTATTAAGATCATGTTTAGCCTAGAATTGTTTATCTCTCTCTCTCTCTCTAATATATATATATCTATATATATATATATATATATATTCAGTCAAGAGTAAACATTTGAATGCATGAATATGAATTTGCGGGAGTAATTAATGGAGACTACGATATAATGTAAGATTTTTTTTCATATAATCCTCATATTGTACCTTTCTATGTCAAGGAGGAAATAAACTTTTTTGATAATTTTCTTTGTTTTTTAGTAATATTATCAATATTTTTTCTTGGTTCTGAAAACATAGTTTTCAGCTAAATATGAAAGAAACCAAGAAAAAAAATGTTTGAAGGATTTACGTTTCACTTTTAACTACTTATCTAAGTTATAACTCTTTTTATATTTATAACATTTTCAAAAACATTTAAAAAATTGAAATATTTTTATTAATATTAATATTCAAGTTAGTTTATACATATCTCAACTAATTAATTTTATGAATCCTGAAATTAATAATAATATAAGACTTCAGTAATTATTATATTAGCAACTATAAAACTCAAACATAAAATCAAGGAAGAATAAATCTTTTAATTCTAAATTTTAATTACTTTAATTGCTAGACATGAATAATTAAGAAACTTTTTATTGTTGATATTATTAAATAATATTTATGTAACTTTATTTATTAAGGTAGAATAATGTTTTCAGTTTAATTTATATATATTTTATTTGTATTTAGGTTAAGATTAAACATTCATAATATATAGATTATTCAGAATTCTAGTTTCTTTTTTATATTTGATCTTAATTATTTTAACAGATATTATATTATTTTATAGTATTATTATATCTTTCTTATTCATTGCAGATCGGCACAGATTTAACTTGTGATGTATGTAGAAGCCCTCTTCTGAATGATTATTTTACATAAAGCCAACAAAATACTCCTTTAATAACTAGCCGTTTTGATCCCTTGACAGTTGTAATTTTAGAACTTCTCTGCTTCATTCGTCATCTTTCTCCATTGCTTCAACCCCCCCTTGAATGATTTGCCATGGTTCAGCAGGGATGGAGGTTGGGTTTATATCCTTGTTTACGTTTATAGCATTTGGTGTAACTCTAAATGTATTTATTTTAAGATCAAAATTTATAGAAATATGTCCAAAATTAGATATAAGGATACCATTTTCTTAAGTTATTAACGAAAACCAAGAGAAAAATTAGGGGTGCGGATGGAAAATATGACCTCTTCAAATTTCAAAATGGTTCCAAGTTTGATAATTATTTCATATGAATTTTTAAATTATTTGTTATGAAATAATCCTTTTTAGTTAAAAATCATATTTTTGATAAAATAAATCTGTAATTATTGTGCATTTATTTTTATTGTATAAAAAAATTTATATCTCAGTATATTTTTCAACTCTTTAATCTATTTTTTAGATTCAAGAATCATTTCAAACTTTTGAATTAAGTATATATAGTTATGAAATTTGGTAAAATTGATCTAACTCAAGATTTATGTCAATAGGCATTAATTAAAATAACAGCTTTTAAAAATACTTATTTTTTAAAAAAATTAAAAATATATTATTTTAATTTTTTTTTTAGAGTAAAACCAGGTACGCTTCAGAGTTTTAACCAAGTAAAGAAGACTTGAGCCGGAACAAGTTTAAATAAACTGCTTTGACTAGTTGACTTCCTACCCACCGTGAAGGCTGCAATCAGAGTGAAACAAGTTATGTCAACTAAATTGTCGTAACTCTTTCTCACAGTAATCATCTCCCATTGCTTTCACACTTCTTAAGCAACGCGTCTATATCTCTTCCTTCACGCCTTTGATGTGCAGAGCAATAATCACCACCACCTTATTTAACACTCTCCCAACTTTCTTAGCCTCCATAAAGAATCTTTTTTCAAGAACACAAAATGGACCGTAATGGAAAAGATGACATCAAGGTCGAGAATGGTTATGATTTGGAGGATGATCATGATCACAAAAGGAAGGACAAGAAAGAGGAACAACAAGAAGAGTTGTCAGTGGAAAGAATATTTGAGAATCAAGAAGTGCCATCATGGAGGAATCAGCTGACACTGAGGGCCTTTGTGGTGAGCTTCGTGTTGAGCATTTTGTTCAGCGTCATAGTAATGAAGCTCAATCTTACAACTGGTATCATACCGTCCCTCAATGTCTCTGCTGGCCTTCTGGGCTTCTTTTTTATCAAGACATGGACAAAGTTTCTTGAAAAGTCTGGCCTTTTGAAGCAACCCTTTACCAGGCAAGAGAACACTGTTATCCAGACTTGTGTGGTTGCATCCTCCGGCATTGCCTTTAATGGTATACTTTCTGTTCTTCTTACTGCCATTAATTTTCATTTCATCTCTCTTACCTTTTGGGTTGAGAAGATATGTAGGCTTCTTTGATCAAGATATTAAAATTTCTGTGCATTTGGTTTTGTTTCTGTTCTTAAAGGTTGGAAACTTACAGTAGTTACTAAGACACAATGTCAAGATTTGCTTCTTCTAATTGCTAGATTACATGATAAGGCAACCCTTTTTTTCTCTCTGGATCCCCTTTATCTCAGTTTTGAGTAGATTTACATGATCCTTGCAGACAAGAATTAATTCCTTAGTGCCTAAAGTCTTTGGGAGGCAAATCAAGATTGAGGTTTTATGACTATCAGTTCTGCTATTTCTTCAGCCACTTGTGAAGTTTTACTAAACTAATCAACACTTGAACTTGCTGTTTGAGAAATGAACAAATATACTTTAGTAAAAAAGTTTAATTAAATGGTCTGTAAATTTTCTTTACTAGCTTTTCCCTGTCTCATGGAGTGTGATAATGGTGGCGTTTTATTTTTCTATTCAATTCATATGAGCTGGATATGGATGATTCTCTAACTTCAAAGTTATACAAAGTCTTGTAAGAATATTCTGATTAGCGGAAAAAGAAGTCTTCCCCATTAGCGAGAAAAGAAAATATGAATAATTAATTTATTTGTACAATTAATCTAGCTTTCATCATGTAAAATTAATTTGAATACACTGCATTTCCAGCTTTTCATCCAAGCGGTTTCGAAACTGAAATTGTTGCAACGAAAGAAATAATTTGTGATTATGCTCAAGATGAAATTAAGCTTGTTGATTTTTTGTACTAATAGTTTTCATTCTATAATTTGTTTCTTGTTTCCTTGCAATAGGAGGCTTTGGGAGTTATATGTTTGGAATGAGTGAAACCGTGGCTAAACAATCAACGGAAGATAGTGATGCCTTTAAGTTCTTCTCATTCAGCTTCTTGTGGGGTTTCTTTCAATGGTTCTACACTGCAGGAGATGGTTGTGGATTTGCTGAGTTCCCATCACTCGGGCTTAAAGCATATGAAAACAAGTAAAAGCATTACTCCACCTTCAAAAAATTTCTCATCCTACTGAATGTAGTTCAATTTATAGTGGCATTGTGTATCAAATTCTTTGTGTTATCATTGACTAATGATGTTCTTGTTACACGTACAGATTTTTCTTTGATTTCTCAGCAACATATGTTGGAGTTGGAATGATTTGCCCATATATCATAAACATATCAGTATTGCTTGGAGGAATTCTTTCCTGGGGTCTCATGTGGCCTCTCATAGATACAAAAAAGGGTGACTGGTATCCAGCAGACCTCAAACCAGGCAGCTTACATGGCCTCCAAGGTTACAAGGTAAGTTTTCTAACAAGGTTAAGGTGACAAGAATGCCCATTACATGATTTTTAACATTTTCTTGAATCCTTTTCTCTCATACCAACGCTTATGCAATGAACACAGGTATTCATTGCCACTGCCTTGATCTTGGGTGACGGTCTGTACAACTTCTTCAAGGTGCTAAGCCGGACACTCGTTGCCTTGTTTTCTCAACTTCGTGGGAGAAATGCAATTGGTGCTCTCCCTATTGCTGACCGTTCCTCTGTCGAGATCTCCAGCATCTCCTATGATGAGCAACGCCGCAACCAATTCTTCCTCAAAGATCAAATTCCAACATGGTTTGCTGTTGCTGGTTATGTGACAATTGCTGCCATCTCCACAGCCACCGTTCCGCGTATATTTCCCGAACTAAAATGGTATTACATATTGGTTATCTACATCTTTGCCCCAGCCCTTGCATTCTGTAATGCTTATGGCTGTGGCCACACTGACTGGTCCCTTGCTTCCACCTATGGAAAGCTTGCTATTTTTATAATTGGAGCATGGGCTGGTGCCTCTCATGGTGGAGTTCTTGCAGGACTAGCAGCCTGTGGAGTCATGATGAATATTGTCTCCACAGCCTCTGACCTATCTCAAGATTTCAAGACTGGTTATTTGACCCTTTCTTCACCTCGGTCCATGTTTGTGAGCCAACTAATTGGCACTGCAATGGGTTGCATTATTTCACCTTGTGTCTTTTGGCTGTTTTTCAAGGCCTTCAAGGATCTTGGGACTCCCGGAAGTCAATACCCTGCTCCTTATGCTACTGTATTTCGAAACATGGCAATATTGGGGGTAGAAGGATTCTCGTCTCTGCCAAAGAATTGCCTCTATCTTTGTTATGGGTTCTTCGGTGCAGCTATTCTGATAAATTTAATTAAGGATGCATTGGGTAAGAAGTGGGCTAGGTTCATTCCCAATCCAATGGCGATGGCTATACCTTTCTATATTGGCTCATACTTTGCCATCGACATGTGTGTGGGAAGCTTGATTCTATTTATCTGGGAAAAGATTGACAAGGCAAAGGCAGATGCTTTTGGGCCAGCAGTGGCTTCTGGTTTGATTTGCGGGGATGGGATATGGACTTTGCCCAGTGCGATACTTGCTCTAGTAGGAGTAAAACCTCCCATTTGCATGAAGTTTTTGTCAAGGGGAACAAATGCTAAGGTCGATGCGTTCTTAGGGTCATAAAGTTGAAGTTCAGATCAACTTGAATAGAAACTGTGAAGTAAAGCTGAATTGCTTCCTAGACTAAGGTTATGAAGTTTACATGTGAAGTTCGACTCAAAAATGTTGTGGTAATCTCCTGCTAATCCGTAGAGCCAACAACTATTTTCTCTGTGATCATTTCTGGAGAAGAAAATCAAATGTCCATTTACTTATATATATATGTTTGTAGTTTTTTTCTTGTCTAGTTTGAAGAAGATGATGCATCAAGCAACGTGAAAAGTGAAGATTACATAGCTGTTTTGATCAGTTGCTATATTTGGTATCAGGTTTGCTCATTTTGCTGGCTATGATCATATCAGGTGGTCCTATGTGGCATCTGTGTTATTATCAGTCTCACAATAAAACCATGCCAGACTTAGTCATCCAACACAAGAAAAAAAAGATGGAAAAAATAATAAGATGCCTCGAGGAAGACAACAAAAGCTTCAGCGAATGTGAGACTTTTAACTATGATGTTGAAGGTTTGTCCTAAGAATATGAATATGAAAAGAAGCTGAAAAATAGACAAGCATTTCCGTATTTTCACTATACCATAGTTTTACCAACAAATTCATTCCGATGGTGCTAGGCATGCAATTCATCGGTAAAATTCTTACCAATAGCATCATCAATAAAATATATCTGTCAAAATATTAATGGTTAATAATTTTTTATTTTATCATTAAATTTGTTAAAAAAAATTAAATATCAACAAAATACCAATGATTTTATAAATAACAAAGTGCATCGAAAAAATAAATTTTCCTCGAGAACTTTACCAATAAAATAATTTTATATATATTTTTAATGGTAATCACTGATAGAATAGTGATTAATGATTGTGATATACATAGTAAATATTTCAGAATTCTTTGTAAATTATTGATAGAAATATTCTGTTAGTAATAACGATGATAAATATCAAAAAAAAATATCCGTTAATAATTATGGTATGGATAGTAATTGTTTTGCAACTCTTGGTTAAATACCGATGGCCTGGTATTTTTTGTGAGGCCGTCGGTATTTATTTAAAATATTTTAAAAAATTTATTTATTAATAGTAAAAAAATTAATTAACTTGTAACAAACATGTTGGAAGTGTAATGATCATCTTATTTTATCTAGGTTTGTCCTAAGAATATGAAAAGAAGCTGAAAAATAGACAGTGAGTGAACTACATGAAGAGGTTATTCATTTGGATCATACGTTCTTCCCCATGCAAATATAGAACCCTCAACTCTCCATCTTGCTCTGGTTATGATTTGTTTACAACTCATCTTCAATCTCATGCTTTGTAAGGCAAGATCCTGCGTTGTTTTTTTAGAGATAAGTTTAAATTAAATAACGTATATATAACATGCAATAATTAATTGGACATTGTTTAAATCTTCCACGCACGTTCCATCCATGTCAATTTCTTTATTTCTTATATCATTTTTTTTCCACAAACTTTGGACAATGGACATACACAGATTTTTTATTTTCCTTTTTATTTTTTATTTTTTTATTTTTTGGAAATTGAATATTGACTTCTCCTCTTCTACAAATTAGAAATAGAAGCTTTTGGCGTGGGATTCAGTGACCATTTGGTACTTGATTAAAACATCCCTGTTTAAAAATTTATTATTTTATTTATAATTTTTTTTTTATTTTTAAACAATTTCTATCAGATTTCTATATATATAAAGATTAGAAGCCCAACTCAAACAAACATGATTTGGGGTCCCTTTATTATTTTAAAAGTGTTTGGAGTGTAATAATAATTTTTTAAAGTATTTTTTATTTTAAAAAAAATTATTAAAATAATATTTTAGAATCATTTGAAAAACAATTTATCCTATATTTTTATCCTACCTCTTCAAAGTACCAGATATGTAAACTCAATTCCAGCACATGTTATTTAGAATCACTTTGTTATTTTAGAGTATATTTAAAAATATGGTAATGATTATTTTTAAAAAGTAAATTTTGCTTAAAAAATATTAAATAATATATTTTTTATTTTTAAAAATTTATGTTACATATCAAATAATTCAAAAATATTTAAAAAATTAATTTAAAAAAATAAATAATTTTTGGATGAAAATTATTTTTTTACAAAAAAATGAGAAAATTTACCATTTGGTTTTTTATGCATTTTATTTTCATCTTTCTTTTCCTAATTATTTTTATACTATAAATTTAAATCCAATTTCATTTAATCGCTCTCAAACTAAAAATTAATTTCAGTTCTATTTTTTAAAAATATTCATATAAACTTTATTATTTAAAATATATATATTCTATAATCATGTGTATTTTTTTTAAAAAAATTATATAAAATATTAAAATTTTAAATATATATTTTTAATTTTTTTTAATGTTAATCCAAGTTAATCAAGATTTACCATAAAACTTAAAACCCAGCTACTTAACCGATAAATCCCCGGACCCCGCTCTTATATAACTATCCACCGTGAAGGCTTTTTCCCAGTCATAATCTCCCGTTGCTTTCACACTGCTTAAGCAACGCGTCTATAAAGAATGTGTTGAGAATATTCACCACCACCTTATTTACGCTCTCCCAACTTTCTTAGCCTCCATAAAGAATCTTTCCTTTTTCAAGAAAACAAAATGGACCGTAATGGAAGAGATGACATCAAGGTCGAGAATGGTTATGATTTGGAGGATGATCACGATCACAAAAAGAAGGACAAGAAAGAGGAACAAGAAGAAGAGTTTTCAGTGGAAAGAAAGTTTGAGAATCAAGAAGTGCCATCATGGAGGAATCAGCTGACACTGAGGGCCTTTGTGTTGAGCTTCGTGTTGAGCATTTTGTTCACCGTCATAGTAATGAAGCTCAATCTTACAACTGGTATCATACCTTCCCTCAATGTCTCTGCTGGCCTTCTGGGGTTCTTTTTTATCAAGACCTGGACAAAGTTCCTTGAAAAGTCTGGCCTTTTGAAGCAACCCTTTACTAGGCAAGAGAACACTGTTATCCAGACTTGTGTGGTTGCATCCTCCGGCATTGCCTTTAATGGTATACTTTCTGTTCTTCTTACTGCCATTAATTTTCATTTCATCTCTCTTCATTTTGGGGTTGAGGAGATATGTAGGCTTCTTTGATCAAGATAATAAAATTTATATGCATTTGGTTTTGTTTCTGTTCCTTGTCATGTAATATAGCAATTAGAAGAAGCAAATCTTGAAACTGAGTTTCAGTAACCACAGCAAGTTTCTCTCTCGATCCCTTTTATCTCAGATGTGAGCAGATTTACATGATCCTTGGAGACAAGAATTAATTCATTACTGCCTAAAGTCTTTGGGAGACAAATCAAAATTGAGGTTTTAATTATGACTACCAGTTCTGCTGTGCTATTGCTTCAGCCACTTGTGAAGTTTTACTAAACTAATTAACACTTCAACTTGCTGTTTGAGACATTGAACAAATATACTTCAGTAAAAAAGTTTAATCAAATGGTCTGTAAATTTTCTTTACTAGCCTTTCCCTGTCTCATGAGAAAAGTGTGAAAATGGTGGTGCTGCTTTTTATTTTTCGTGTGGTCCTCCACGAGGCATAAAGTGTCGCTGGCAGATGTCTCTAGACAGATACTTTTTTGACCATTCAATTCATATGAGCTGGATATGGATGATTTGCTAACTTTAAAGTTATACAAGTCTTGTAAGAATATTCTGATTCGTGGAAAAAGAAGTCTTCCCCGTTGGTAACAGAAAAGAAAATATGAATAATTAATTAGTTTGTACTGTTAATCTAGATTTCATCAAGGTGACTTATGCTTGTATCAAAAGATTATATAATTTATATTATTTTTTTAATAAGATTTACTATATTGGGCTTGCTCATGTACTGAAAATCATTAGCATGATGTCAAGATGAATACACTACATTTCCAACTTATCATCCAAGAGCTTTTGAAACTGAAATTGTTGTGATGAAAGAACAAATTTGTGATTATGCTCAAGATGAAATTAAGCTTGTTGATTTTTTGTCCTAATGGTTTCCGTTCGGTAATTTCTACTTGTTTCCTTGCAATAGGAGGCTTTGGGCATTATCTGTTGGGAATGAGTGAAACCGTGGCCAGACAATCAACAGAAGATAGTGATGCCTTTAAGAACCCATCTCTGTCATGGATGATAGGCTTTCTGTTTGTTGTTAGCTTTCTTGGACTCTTTTCAGTGGTGCCTCTTCGAAAGGTAGACTTCACAACCTATATCGCCATTCAATTTCGTATAGGAAATAGAAAACTTCTCTCTGCATTTTGCTTTCTTGTTGAATGTATTGATTTTGCCAAAATCTAATCTTCATTGTTACCCTGGTTATTTCCAGGTCATGATTATAGACTTCAAATTGACATATCCAAGTGGCACTGCTACTGCTTATCTCATCAACAGCTTCCACACTCCTGCAGGAGCCAAGCTAGCAAAGTAAGGCATTATCAGACCTCATGCACATATAGTTGGATGATCAATCGGCATGTAAAAGTATCAAACTTCTTTTTTTTCTACCGTTTCAGAAAACAAGTGAAAGCGTTGGGCAAGTTCTTATCATTCAGCTTCTTGTGGGGTTTCTTTCAGTGGTTCTACACTGCAGGAGATGGTTGTGGATTTGCTGAGTTCCCATCACTCGGGCTTAAAGCATATGAAAACAAGTAAAAGCATTACTCCACCTTCAAATATTTTCTCATCCTATTGAATGTAATACAAATTATTATGGCATTGTGTTTCAAATTCATTGTGGTATATATCTTTAACTAATAATGTTCTTGTTACACGTACAGATTTTTCTTTGATTTCTCAGCAACATATGTTGGAGTTGGAATGATTTGCCCATATATCATAAACATATCAGTTTTGCTCGGAGGAATTCTTTCCTGGGGTCTCATGTGGCCTCTCATAGATACAAAAAAGGGTGATTGGTATTCAGCAGACCTTAAACCTAGCAGCCTACATGGCCTCCAAGGTTACAAGGTAAGTTTTCTAACAAGGTTAAGGTGACAGGAGTGCTATTCTTGAAGCCTTTTCATTCATAACAACTCTTATGCATTGAACTCAGGTATTTATTGCCATTGCCCTGATCTTGGGTGACGGTCTGTACACCTTCTTCAAGGTGCTAAGCCGAACACTCGCTGCATTGTTTTTTCAACTTCAAATGAGAGATGCAACTGGTGGCCTCCCTATTGCGGACCGTTCCTCTCCCGAGACATCCAGGATCTCATACAATGATCAACGCCGCACCCAACTCTTTCTGAAAGATCAAATTCCAACATGGTTTGCTGTTGCAGGCTATGTTGCAATTGCCGCTATCTCTACAGCCACGCTACCGCATATATTTCCCGAACTCAAATGGTATTATATATCGGTTATCTACATCTTTGCCCCAGCCCTTGCATTCTGTAATGCTTATGGCTGTGGCCACACTGACTGGTCCCTTGCTTCCACCTATGGAAAGCTTGCTATTTTTATAATTAGACCCCAGGAAAGAATTCCTCCAAGCAATGGTGCCTCTCATGGTGGAGTTCTTGCAGGACTAGCGGCCTGTGGAGTCATGATGAATATCGTCGCCACAGCCTCCGACCTCTCTCAAGATTTCAAGACTGGTTATCTAACCCTTTCTTCACCTCGGTCCATGTTTGTGAGCCAACTAATTGGCACTGCAATGGGTTGCATTATTTCACCTTGTGTCTTTTGGCTGTTTTTCAAGGCCTTCAAGGATCTTGGGACTCCTGGAAGTCAATACCCTGCTCCTAATGCTACTGTATTTCGAAACATGGCTATATTGGGGGTAGAAGGATTCTCGTCTCTGCCAAAGAATTGCCTCTATCTTTGTTATGGGTTCTTCGGTGCAGCTATTCTGATAAATTTAATTAAGGATGCATTGGGTAAGAAGTGGGCTAGGTTCATTCCCAATCCAATGGCGATGGCTATACCTTTCTATATTGGCTCATACTTTGCCATCGACATGTGTGTGGGAAGCTTGATTCTATTTATCTGGGAAAAGATTGACAAGGCAAAGGCAGATGCTTTTGGGCCAGCAGTGGCTTCTGGTTTGATTTGCGGGGATGGAATATGGACTTTGCCTAGAGCGATACTTGCTCTAGCAGGAGTGAAACCTCCCATTTGCATGAAGTTTTTGTCAAGGGGAACAAATGCTAAGGTCGATGCGTTCTTAGGGTCATAAAGTTGAAGTTCAGATCAACTTGAATAGAAACTGTGTGGTGAAGCTGAATTGCTTCCTAGACTAAGTTTATGAAGTTTACATGTGAATTTCGACTCAAAAATGCTGCTGATAATCACCTGCTATTTCGTGGAGCCAACAACTATTTTCTCTATAATCTTTTGTGGAGAAGAAAATCAAATGTCCATTTACTTATATATGCTTGTAGTTTTTTTCTTGTCTCGTTTGAAGAAGTTAGTAGAACAGATGCATCAAACAATGTGAAAAGGGAAAATTACTGTACCCTTTGTGAGCTGTTATGATCAGTTGCAATATTTGGCATCAGGTTTGCTCATTTTGCCAGATATCATCATATCAGGTGGTCCAATGTGGCATTGGAATGGCCTTCTGGAACTGCTGTGTTATTATCAGTCTCACAATAAAACCATGCCAGACTAAGTCATCCAACACGAGGAAAAAAAAGATGGAAAAAATATTAGATGCGTCGAGGAAGACGATAAAAGCTTCAGCGAATATGAGACTTGTAACAAACATGTTGGAAGTGTAATGATCATCTTATTTTATCTAGGTTTGTCCTAAGAATATGAAAAGAAGCTGAAAAATAGACAGTGAGTGAACTACATGAAGAGGTTATTCATTTGGATCATACGTTCTTCCCCATGCAAATATAGAACCCTCAACTCTCCATCTTGCTCTGGTTATGATTTGTTTACAACTCATCTTCAATCTCATGCTTTGTAAGGCAAGATCCTGCGTTGTTTTTTTAGAGATAAGTTTAAATTAAATAACGTATATATAACATGCAATAATTAATTGGACATTGTTTAAATCTTCCACAAACTAGAAATTGAATATCATTTTTTCTTATATCATTTTTTTTTCCACAAACTTTGGACAACGGACATTCACAGATTTTTTATTTTCCTTTTTATTTTTTTATTTTTTGGAAATTGAATATTGACTTCTCCTCTTCTACAAATTAGAAATAGAAGCTTTTGGCGTGGGATTCAGTGACCATTTGGTACTTGATTAAAACATTCCTGTTTAAAAATTTATTATTTTATTTATAATTATTTTTTTATATATTTTTAAACAATTTCTATCAGATTTCTATATATATAAAGATTAGAAGCCCAACTCAAACAAACATGATTTGGGGTCACTTTATTATTTTAAAAGTGTTTGGAGTGTAATAATAATTTTTTAAAGTATTTTTTATTTTAAAAAAATTATTAAAATAATATTTTAGAATCATTTGAAAAACAATTTATCCTATATTTTTAGCCTACCTCTTCAAAGTACCACATATGTAAATAAACTCAATTCCAGCACATGTTATTTAGGATCACTAATTTAGAGTATATTTAAAAATATGGTAATGATTATTTTTAAAAATATATTTTTTTATTTTTAAAAATTTATTTTACATATCAAAATAATTCAAAAATATTTAAAAAATTAATTTAAAAAAAATAAAGAATTTGTTTAAAAAAAAAAGAAAAAGAAGAAGAAGAAAAACACAACCACTCACTCCAATAACCCGTTTTAACTCTTTCTCATGTTCATCGTCTTCAATTCGCCTGTGGTGTGTTGAGCAATAATCACAACCACTTATTAAACACGCTCCCAACTTTATTCGTCTCCATAAAGAATCATTCTTTTAAGAAAATAAAATGGAACGTAATGAAAGAGACGACACCAAGGTAGAGAATGGTTATAATTTGGAGGATGGTCATGGTGGTCACAGAAAGAAGGACAAGAAAGAGGAACAAGAAGAAGAGTTGTCAGTGGAAAGAATATTTGAGAATCAAGAAGTGCCATCATGGAGGAATCAGCTGACACTGAGGGCCTTTGTGGTGAGCTTCGTGTTGAGCATTTTGTTCAGCGTCATAGTAATGAAGCTCAATCTTACAACTGGTATCATACCTTCCCTCAATGTCTCTGCTGGCCTTCTGGGCTTCTTTTTTATCAAGACGTGGACAAAGTTTCTTGAAAAGTCTGGACTTTTGAGGCAACCCTTTACGAGGCAAGAGAACACTGTAATACAGACTTGCGTGGTTGCTTCCTCTGGCATTGCCTTTAGTGGTAAACTTTCTGTACTATTTAATGCCATTAATTTTCCTTTCATCTCTCTTTATTATTTTGAAATTCAATTTTTTTTCCTCTTTTCTTTCGAAGTTGAGGAGATATCTACGTTTCTTTGATCAAGATATTAATATTTCTGTGCATTTGGTTTTGTTTCTGTTCTTAAAGGTTGCAAACTTGCAATAGTTACTAAAATTTAATGTCAAGATTTCCATCTTCTAATTGCTAGATTACATGATAAGGCAACCATTTTTCTCTCTCTGGATCCCTTTTATCTCAGATGTGAGTAGATTTGCATGATCCTTGAAGACAGAATCTCTTACTGCCTAAAGTCTTTGAGAGACAAATCAAAACTGAGGCTTTATGACTACCACTTGTGAAGTTCTACTAAACTAATCAACACTTGAACTTACCATTAGAGATATGAACAAATCTATCTCTGTCTCCTCGAGTGTGATAATGTTAGGGGTGCAGCTGGTATGTCACTCGACAGATACTTTTTTGACAATTCAATTCATATGCGCTGAATATGGATGACTTGCTAAGTTCATATTTATATCAGGAAGTCTTATAACAATATTCTGATTGTGGAAAAAGAAGTCTTCTCCATTAGTAAAAGAAATGAAAATGTGAATAACACCTGTTTCTAGAATGCTAGTTGTGAGCTTGCGTTATTAATCAAACCTCTTCTCTAACTGTGAATCATTAACATAATATCAAGATGAATACATTATATTTCTAACTTATCCAAATAGTCAAGAAAAGCCTGATTACTTGCCAAACTTGTTTCGAAACTGAATTAATTATTGTAATGAAACGGCTAATTTGTGATTAAGCTTATGATGATATTAAACTTGTTGATTTTGTACTAATGGTTTCCTTATAATAGGAGGCTTTGGGAGTTATCTTTTTGGAATGAGTGACACCGTGGCCAAACAATTAACTGAAGATAGTGATGCCTTTAAAAATCCATCTCTGTCTTGGATGATTGGCTTTTTATTTGTTGTTAGCTTTCTTGGACTCTTTTCGGCGGTGCCTCTTCGAAAGGTAGACTTTACAACCTATATCAGCATTCAATTTCTTTATATGATGATAGGAAATAGGAAACTTTTCTCTGCATTTTACATTTTTGCCGAATGTATAGATTTTCTAAAAACTAATCCTCATTGTTACCCTGGTTATTTCCAGGTCATGATTATAGACTTCAAATTGACATATCCAAGTGGCACTGCAACTGCTCATCTCATCAACAGCTTCCACACTCCTGCAGGAGCCAAGCTAGCAAAGTAAGGCATTATCAGACCTCATGCGCTTGTAGTTGGATGATCATTTGACATGTAAGAGCATCGAACTTTTTTATTCTACTGTTACAGGAAACAAGTGAGAGTATTGGGCAAGTTCTTCTCATTCAGCTTCTTGTGGGGTTTCTTTCAATGGTTCTACACTGCAGGAGATGGTTGTGGATTTGCTGAGTTCCCCTCACTTGGTCTTAAAGCACATGAAAACAAGTAAAAGCTTTACTCCACCCTCAAAAAATTTCTCATCCTACTGAATGTAGTTCAATTTATAGTGGCATTGTGTATCAAATTCTTTGTGTTATCATTGACTAATGATGTTCTTGTTACACGTACAGATTTTTCTTTGATTTCTCAGCAACATATGTTGGAGTTGGAATGATTTGCCCATATATCATAAACATATCAGTATTGCTTGGAGGAATTCTTTCCTGGGGTCTCATGTGGCCTCTCATAGATACAAAAAAGGGTGACTGGTATCCAGCAGACCTCAAACCAGGCAGCTTACATGGCCTCCAAGGTTACAAGGTAAGTTTTCTAACAAGGTTAAGGTGACAAGAATGCCCATTACATGATTTTTAACATTTTCTTGAATCCTTTTCTCTCATACCAACGCTTATGCAATGAACACAGGTATTCATTGCCACTGCCTTGATCTTGGGTGACGGTCTGTACAGCTTCTTCAAGGTTCTAAGCCGAACACTCGCTGCATTGTTTTGTCAACTTCGTGGGAGAGATGCAACTGGTGCTCTGCCTGTTGCTGACCGTTCCTCTCCTGAGACATCCAAGATCTCCTATGATGAGCAACGTCGCACCCAACTCCTTCTCAAAGATCAAATTCCAACATGGTTTGCTGTTGCTGGTTATGTGACAATTGCTGCCATCTCCACAGCCACCGTTCCGCGTATATTTCCCGAACTAAAATGGTATTACATATTGGTTATCTACATCTTTGCCCCAGCCCTTGCATTCTGTAATGCTTATGGTTGTGGACTCACTGATTGGTCCCTTGCTTCCACCTATGGGACGCTTGCTATTTTTGTAATTGGGGCATGGGCTGGTGCCTCTCATGGTGGAGTTCTTGCAGGACTAGCAGCCTGTGGAGTCATGATGAATATTGTCTCCACAGCCTCTGACCTATCTCAAGATTTCAAGACTGGTTATTTGACCCTTTCTTCACCTCGGTCCATGTTTGTGAGCCAGCTAATTGGCACTGCAATGGGTTGCATGATTTCCCCGTGTGTATTTTGGCTTTTTTTTAAGGCCTTCAAGGATCTGGGGACTCCTGGAAGTGAATACCCTGCTCCTTATGCTACTGTATTTCGAAACATGGCTATATTGGGGGTAGAAGGATTCTCCTCTCTACCAAAGAATTGTCTCTATCTTTGTTATTGGTTCTTCGGTGCAGCAATTCTGATAAATTTGATCAAGGATGTGTTGGGTAAGAAACGGGCTAGGTTAATTCCCAATCCAATGGCAATGGCTATACCTTTCTATATTGGCTCATACTTTGCCATCGACATGTGTATAGGAAGCTTGATTCTATTTATCTGGGAAAATATTGACAAGGCAAAGGCTGATGCTTTTGGGCCAGCAGTGGCTTCTGGTTTGATTTGTGGGGACGGGATATGGACTTTGCCTAGTTCGATACTTGCTCTAGCAGGAGTGAAACCTCCCATTTGCATGAAGTTTTTGTCAAGGAGAACAAATGCTAAGGTCGATGCGTTCTTAGGGTCATATATTTGAAGTTCAGATCAACTTCAATAGAAACTGTGAGTTAGAGCTGAATTGCTTCCTAGACTAAGGTTAAGAAGTTTACATATGAAGTTCGACTCAAAAATGCTGTAGATAATCACCTGCTATTTGTGGAGTCAACAACTATTTTCTCTACAATCATTTCTGGAGAAGAGAATCAAATGTCCATTTACTTATATGTGCTTGTTAGTCAATCCTTGGAAATATGCTTGTAGTTTTTTTCTTGTCTAGTTTGAAGAAGATAGTGGCAGATGCATCAAACAATGTGCAAACGGAAAATCACAGTACCCTTTGTGAACTTTAAACATAATATCAAAAGTGAATGTGCAAATATTACAGGTAGCAGGCATGTTGATTTTGAACATGGTGCAGTTATCTTTGTTGATTTCTTCTTCCTTATTCGTATACGACCTTTCAGAATCACACCCAAGACCGCTGTTGTTATTCTGGGTTGCTGCTTTCCTGCCTTCAATTCCTTGGTTTTGCTGTTTGATGTTTTCACTACTTTTGCATCAATGCGTGATATCTTTGGATGTTACTCAATCTGGTAAGGATAAATGATCGGTTGCTATATTTGGTCTCAGGTTTGCTCATTTTGCTGGCTATGATCATATCAGGTGGTCCAACGTGGCATTAGTATGGCCTTCTGGAACTACTGTGTTATCATCAGTCTCTCACAATGAAACCATGCCAGAATTAGTTGCCCAACAGGGAAAAAAACAGGACAAAAAAAAACATCAGATGCATCGAGAAAGACGATAAAAGCTTCAGCGATGGGACTTGTAACCATCTCCACAGCCGATCAAACAAGCTGTAAGTGATTGCCTGTGTAATGATTACCTTATTTTATCCTAAGACTATGAAAAGAAGTTACAAAATAGTCAAGCATTGCTGTATTTTTAATGGCATCTAAGCCGTAGGAGCAAGTGAACTACATAAACAGGCTATCATTTGGATCAAACGCACGTTCCCTAGCAAATATATTCTTTCTGTTTATGCGGAACAAAAAAAAAAAGGGTTAGGAAAAATAGAGAATTAGAAAAGAAAAGGTTTGGTATTTTTATTTAATCATTCAAATCTCTCACAAACAGAAACATATAAATAACAAAACTCTAAAATATCTAATTATTAAGCTCAACTCATCAATTAAAACTATCTAATATAAATAACTCAAATAAATAAAATAAAATAATAAAATAAAATAAATTCAAATGAGCTCAATCTTCTAACCAAAAAATAACAGATTGTGTCATCTTACATCATTTCCATTCATAGTGTAATTTATAGTGTGGATTGTTCTCATCACCTGTATTATATAAATTTTTTTTTTAATGTAATAAAAATATATAAGTGTTGTAAATGTATTTGTGTGCATAAAAAAAATTAAATATAAACCAAAAAATTGATGCACCTGTTTAGTAAAATTGATTGAATTTAAATTTTATTTATTGTAGTTAAAAAAATTTAAATTAAAATACACATAAATAATAGCTCATAAAAATAACTGAGAAGCCTTAGCCTATTGAGCCAGCTCTTGGCTAAAAAACACCAGACTAGGCATGCATCGCAATGGTATGAATATATTTTCAAGTATTAAGATTTTGTTTATTAAAAAAACGCAAAAGTATTGTTTATATTTAATAAAATAAATATAAAAAATTATGAACCAATAATCTAAGAAAGAGATTATTCTAATTATAAAATAAAATAGAAAGATAATTTTTCCCTTAAAAGCAAAAGTGTGTAAATATTTAACCCCAACTTTTTTTTAATTTATATATTTTAATTTATTTTATCTTAGTTGTTAGTCTTGCCAAGAACAAATGGCTTATAGTTTTATAAATAAATCATGCAAATACAATTTATTTCTATCAAATATAAAAGAAACAAAATTTAAAGATAAATTACAATAATTTCTTTGAAACATTATAAGAATACCAAAAAAATAAAAAACAAAAAAAATATATTTAAGAAATCTGAACTAAAATATTTTAAAAAAATAAAATAGAATTTATTAATTAAAATAAAAATAAAAAATAATTCAAAAACTAAAAATATATAAAAAAAGGTATTGATAAAAAATTAAAACAAAAGAAAAAAATTTTAAAAAAAAAAGAAGAAGAAGAAAAAAAAAGCAAATCATAGCTCTTGCAAGCTACCAAAAAGCCCAGTCCGAGCTATTTGTTTTGCTTGTTCGTTCCTCTTTTATCTTTTATTTTATACTAAATTATGATAGTGTTTGTTTTTATAGTAATATTATATTTTAAAAAAAATTAATTAATTTTTTATATATTTTTTTATTAATTTGATACGCTACTATCAAAAATAAATTTTAAAAAAATAATATTTTAATATATTTATAAATAAAAATATTTTAAAAAATAACTATTATCATAATACCACATATTATCAACAAGTTTTTTGTTAGGGTGAATGATCTATTATCATCTAAATTATTCTCTAATTGCCTCTAGAGATTAAAAATAAATAAATCAGGCTATAAGTCTTATGATCCAAAATTAAGTTTATTTTTCTAGAAATTTATCCAAATATTTGGCAAAAAATTTGTCAGAAGGTGCATTTTTGAACATTAAACCCCAAAAAAACCCTGCATTGTTTCCTCTTTTATCAAATGTGATCCCTGAAGTTTTTGTTTTAGCATGCAACAAGATTAATTTATTTTTACAAAATTAAGCATATCCAGATATGTTAGTAAGAGTTTAAAAGAATAATAATAAAAATAAATATGTTCACAGTGCATCTGCTCACAATCCACATAGTAATCCTAAACCCTTGGAGGTTTTTTTTTTTTTTTAATGTGTCAAGTGATAAGTAGTTAAATATAAGTTTAGAAATATTAAAAGATTAGTCTAGAATGAAAAGAATAATCAGCGCGTCAGTTCATATAAAACTATTGTACGATTTTTAAAAAAAATATATAAATAAAATTGCTCTTTATCCGAAGATAGAGTCTTTCAAATATGCTTCGTTCATGTTCCCCATGGTATTAGAGTCTGTATATATATAAAAAAATTAAGTAACGACTTTTTAATGATACTAACAAAACTATAACCATAATTTAAATTAATATAGAAATAGAAACCGTGACTAGATAGAGGAAAATATCGACGGTGTCTTAATTAATTAATTATTTTGCTTCAATAAATCCCTCATGTTTTTCCACGCGTGAATATTTAGTCTTATGATCATAGCTTGGGTTTGATTTTTTGTTGCCTACCTCGTTAAATATTTTCCCACTAACTTGCTTGACTGTTTTAATTTAATTAATATCTGCCATCGATATCCATAAATGGTAATATAATAGAAGAGTTGAGTACTTTTCTATGTATAAATGGTAATTAACGAGTCATCAACGAAGAATTCAGTACTCTTAGGACAGAAGCTTTGAGTTTTCGTCATCAATGATATATGAAATCAGTATTAGGACATGGTATTGAGTTTTCTTACTGTGTTATTTTTCATAATTTACGGCCGCATTTAGTCTTTGCATGCACTATTTTAAGATTTAGGGTTTATTTTTTTTATTATAGGCCAGTTGTTTTCCACGTATACTTCTAGACCTATTTAATTTAATGCAGAAATAACTTTGATTTGTTTTTTTAAAAAAAACATAGAAGAGTAAAAGTAGAGGAAGTTCTCGAGAGAGTTGTTGTGGCAAGATAGCCCTTTTCTTTAGTTAGAGATAATATATAATCTATTTTGATAAAAATTAATATCTTTTGACATAGTCCTGAATGGTTATAAATTTTTATGTTTTTTTTTTTAAAAAAAAAATAGATAATTATTAGCAATACAATTAAAATATTTAAAGAGATTAAGTTTTAATTTGATGGTGGAAAGAGTTTGTTTGCCCCACTGTTTCTGAATTCAAGTTTTTATGTGTATACTTGTTATTCCTACAGTATTTTATATACCTATTAAATTTATAATGTATTTAAAAAATTATAAAATTAATTTTAATACATATAAAGTATTTCAGAAATTTATATAAATAAATAAAAAAAACATTTGACATGGTGGAACAATGAACCTTCCAAAGCGATCCCCTACTAGGGAAGATGACACTGTTATCAAGACTAGGACACAGTTTCTTGAAAAGTCTGGCCTTTTGAAGCAACCCTTTATTACTGGGCAAGAGAACTCTATAAAATAGCAACTCTTTTTCTTAAAAAAAAGAAGAAGATGTTTCTACGTCTTTTTAGAATTTTTTTGCTTAGGATTTTGTCAAATTTTATTATTTTATCTTTTTAGTTTTGAACATTATACAACTTAATCCAACATTTCATTATATTCACATTTTGGTTTTTATACTTGAGAAGAGAGAGAAAATCATTAAAAAATAGCAAGAAAAAGGAAAAGGTTGGTTGTTTCAATTTGGTTGACAAAAATTACTAAACCTGGTGTAATAGTATTTATCTTGATGGGAGGAGTGTTGTTGAGGTGCTTTTGGCCTTCAACATTATCTAAAAAGACAAATTAGAGTTAAGAGAGTTTTTTATTTTATTTTTAGTTTAATTTTGTATTTTTGAACCAATTAAAACATTTTTTGAGTTGAAGAATTAGTTTTTTTAATATTATAAAAGTGTTTTTTAGATTTTTTAGATAAGAATAAATTAAAAATTGAGTTTTTAGCTAAACATCTAGACAACCTAATTTTTTAGTTACTTGTACGATATTAAAATTCAGACTTATATGCAACACATCATCTATTTTTTAATATAAAAAAATCAAGTTTTATGTGTGCAGCCTAAGGCCCGGCAAACCCACTTGCCTAGTCATATTTTTAAAGGCATAGTTCCATGCATTTCACCTGTTTTTTAATAGGTTTTCAGCAATATTTAATTTTTAAAAAAATAAATAAATAAATATATATATATATATATATATATTTAACATCTTTTTATATATATATAATCATTGAGTATATATTAAAAAGTTTATAAAACAATAATTAAAATAAAATACAAGGACATTAACAAAAAATAGCCGAAGAAAAAATTGTCCAGACACAATTTTCTAGACACCTTAAATAAGGGCATTGATCAAATTTGTTCCCGATGACAAATAAATTCTCAATATAGCACTTATTTGGCCTTTAAGACTTTTCATATCACGACTTCTTCTTAATTGGGTGGTTCACTTAAGTTGTGTAGTAGTTACTGTTAAATTCGCACTTAATGACCTTTAAGACTTTTCAAACAAGGCCTTTACTCAACCAATTGAGTTCTGGGTTTTTTGTTTTTCAAAGTAAAATTGTTTTAATTTATTTTTTTAATAAAGAGTTAATCTAGATTGAATTGTAGAGACACCAGTTTTGACCCCCCAGGGTTAGACAAGTAATTTTGTCGAGCAATAATCACAACCACCTTATTTAGCACTCTCCCAACTTTCGTAGCCTCCACAAAGAATTTTTTTTTTTTTTAAGAAAAGAAAATGGAACGTAATGGCAGAGATGACATCGAGGTAGAGAATGGTTATGATTTGGAGGATGATCATGGTCACAGAAAGAAGGACAAGAAAGAGGAACAAGAAGAAGAGTTGTCAGTGGAAAGAATATTTGACAACCAAGAAGTGCCATGAGTTGTCAGTGGAAAGAATATTTGAGAACCAAGAAGTGCCATCATGGAGGAATCAGCTGACACTGAGGGCCTTTGTGGTGAGCTTCGTGTTGAGCATTTTGTTCACCGTCATAGTAATGAAGCTCAATCTTACAACTGGTATCCTACCTTCCCTCAATATCTCTGCTGGTCTTCTGGGGTTCATTTTTATCAAGACTTGGACAAAGTTTCTTGAAAAGTCTGGCCTTTTGAAGCAACCCTTTACCAGGCAAGAGAACACTGTTATACAGACTTGTGTGGTTGCCTCCTCTGGCATTGCCAATAGTGGTATACTTTCTGTACTTCTTACTGCCATTAATTTTCATTTCATCTCTCAATTATTTTTAAAATCAATTTTTTTTTCTCCTTTCTTTGTGAGTTGGAGAGATATCTAGGCTTCTTTGATCAAGATAATATTTCTATGCATTTGGTTTTGTTTCTGTTCTTAATTGTTGCTAAATTCAAGTGGTTGCTAAAATTCAATGTTACAAGATGAGGCAGTCGTTTTTGTCTCTGTCCCTTTCATCTCAGATGTGAGATCATTGAAGACAATAATTTTTTACTGCCTGCAGTCTTTGAGAGACAAATCAAAATTGAGGTTTTATGAATAACATTGTGCAATTGTTTCAGCCACTTATTACTAAACTACTCAACACTTGAGCTTGCTGTTAGAGACATGAACAAATCTTCTTTAGTGAAAAAGTTTGATGAGTGTCTTCTTTAAATGATCTGTAAATTTTCTTTACTAGCTTCCTCCCCGTCTCCTGGAGTGTGTGATAATGGTGTTGGGGGTGGCTGCTTTTTATTTTTCATCTAGTGTTTTTTATGCGGGCAGAAGCATAAAGACAGTTCAACAATTACAGAGAAGGCAAATTTGTTGAGCGAAAAGAACTGCAAGCTTGATCTCTAAATTTACAAAATAATATCATAATCTTCAAATATGAAAGAAAATAACATAAAATTCAAAAGAACACGAAAAAACCAGGAAATGAAGGAAAGTTTTCTATATTAGATCTTCCAAGTTTAATTTCAATAAATTTGAATAGTGGATAAACTACTAAAGGAGGATTTTTCATGGAACTTTGGTCTAGAAATTTCTTGTAAACTACAAATTTAAGTCTGATTCAACTCGAATCGAGAGTTATAGTTGTTTTAATTAACTATGCAAATCGCGCTAAATCAAATTTATTTTTAGGGCTGACCCTATCTTACTGTACATAAAAATATATGTTAAATCATACGTATAGTTTTTCACTGTGAACTGCTAAAAACTTTTAGTTTTGGGTGACATGTCAGCATCAGTTTTCTTGGGTTTCTAATGCCCCACCGGGCATAAAGTGCGACTGGCTGAGATGGTTAACTTACCAAGTTCAAAGTTATATCTGCAAGTCTTAAAATAATATTCTGATTAGTGGAAAAACAAGCCTTCTCCATTAGTAAACGAAACGAAAACGAGAATATAATTAATCAACCCTTTTACTGTTGATTTTCCTATATTGAACTTGTTCATTGACCGAGAATCATTAACATAATGTCAAGATGAATACGCTATATTTCTAAATAGTCAAGACAAGATTGAATGCCAAACTTGTTTTGAAACTGAACTTGTTGTGATAAAACAGTTAATTTGTATGATGATGTTAAACTCGTTGAATTTCGTACTAATGGTCTCCTTACAATAGGAGGCTTTGGGAATTATCTGTTTGGAATGAGTGAAACCGTGGCCAAACAATCAACAGAATATAGAGATGCTTTTAAAAATCCATCTCTGTCATGGATGATTGGCTTTCTGTTTGTTGTTAGCTTTCTTGGACTCTTTTCAGTGGTGCCTCTTCGAAAGGTAGACTTCACAACGCTATATAACCATTCAATTTCGTCATATGATTATTGGAAATAAAACACTTTTCTCTGCACTTTCCATTCTTGTCGACTGTATTGATTTTGCCAAAATCTAATCTTCATTGTTACCCTGGTGAGGTCATGATTGTAGACTTCAAATTGACATATCCAAGTGGCACTGCAACTGGTCATCTCATCAACAGCTTCCACACTCCTACAGGGGCCAAGCTAGCAAAGTAAGGCATTATCAGATCTCATGCTCTTATAGTTGGATGATCATTTGGCAACTAGAAGTATCGTACTTTGTTTTTCTACCATTGCAGGAAACAAGTGAGGGTGTTGGGAAAGTTCTTCTCATTCAGCTTCTTGTGGGGTTTCTTTCAATGGTTCTACACTGCAGGAAATGGTTGTGGATTTGCTGAGTTCCCCTCACTCGGTCTTAAAGCATATGAAAACAAGTAAAAGCATTACTCCACCTTCAAAAAATTTCTCATCATGCTGAATGAAGTTCAATTTATAGTGGCATTGTGTTTCAAATGCTTTGTGTTATCGTTGAATAATGATGTTCTTGATACACGTACAGATTTTTCTTTGATTTCTCAGCCACATATGTTGGAGTTGGAATGATTTGCCCATATATCATAAACATATCAGTATTGCTTGGAGGAATTCTTTCCTGGGGTCTGATGTGGCCTCTCATAGATACAAAAAGGGGTGACTGGTATCCAGCAGACCTCAAACCAGACAGCCTAAATGGCCTCCAAGGTTACAAGGTAAGTTTTCTAGCTAGGTTAAGGTGACAAGAGTGCCCAGTACATGGTTTTTTTTACATATTCTTAGAGACTTTTCAACCAAACCAACACTTACTCAGGTATTCATTGCCACTGCCTTGATCTTGGGTGACGGTCTGTACAACTTCTTCAAGGTGCTAAGCCGGACACTCGTTGCCTTGTTTTCTCAACTTCGTGGGAGAAATGCAATTGGTGCTCTCCCTATTGCTGACCGTTCCTCTGTCGAGATCTCCAGCATCTCCTATGATGAGCAACGCCGCAACCAATTCTTCCTCAAAGATCAAATTCCAACATGGTTTGCTGTTGCAGGCTATGTCGCAATTGCTGCCATCTCGACAGCCACCGTTCCGCTTATATTTCCCGAACTAAAATGGTATTACATATTGGTTATCTACATCTTTGCCCCAGCCCTTGCATTCAGTAATGCTTATGGCTGTGGCCTCACTGATTGGTCCCTTGCTTACTCCTATGGGACGCTTGCTATTTTTGCAATCGGAGCATGGGCTGGTGCCTCTCATGGTGGAGTTCTTGCAGGACTAGCGGCCTGTGGAGTCATGATGAATATCGTCTCCACAGCCTCAGATCTCTCTCAAGATTTCAAGACTGGTTATCTAACCCTTTCTTCCCCACGGTCCATGTTTGTGAGCCAACTAATTGGCACCGCAATGGGTTGCATTATTTCACCTTGTGTCTTTTGGCTGTTTTTCAAGGCCTTCAAGGATCTTGGGACTCCCGGAAGTCAATACCCTGCTCCTTATGCTACTGTATTTCGAAACATGGCAATATTGGGGGTAGAAGGATTCTCGTCTCTGCCAAAGAATTGCCTCTATCTTTGTTATGGGTTCTTCGGTGCAGCTATTCTGATAAATTTGATCAAGGATGCTTTGGGTAGGAAATGGGCCAGGTTCATTCCTTATCCAATGGCGATGGCTATATCTTTCTATGTTGGCTCCTACTTTGCCATTGATGCGTGTGTGGGAAGCTTGATTCTATTTATCTGGGAAAAGATTGACAAGGCGAAGGCTGATGCTTTTGGGCCGGTAGTGGCTTCTGGTTTGATTTGCGGGGATGGAATATGGACTTTGCCTAGTTCGATGCTTGCTCTGGCAGGAATAAAACCTCCCATTTGCATGAAGTTTTTGTCAAGGGGAACAAATACTAAGGTCGATGCGTTCTTAGGGTCATAAAGTACAATTACAATTACTAACTGAAACTGTCGAATTCATTGTAGCTCCCCTCATAGAGCATTGTTTGTTCACTAGAACAATGCTCTATCTTTATTTTCGGTTCTTCATTTTATTTTATTTTTTGGTTTTCATTTGGTTTTGTTTTCTATTTATTCTTTTGATATTGTGTTTATTAGAAATTAATATTTGTAATTTGTTTCCCTTTATTTTTTACAAAATTATCATGGTGTCTACCTCAGCAAAGATGGGTGATTCTCGATTTTGTGAAAATATAATTGATTTTATTTTTTGTAGGTGACTGAAAGTAAAGGTATGAAAATTCAAGAAAAAAATGCAGCCATGTTATTTAAAAAAAAAAAAAAAGAGGGTCCCCGGCTCTTTTGTTTAATTTTGCCATTGGATTTAAAAATTATGAATATTTTATTTTATTTGCCATTGGATTTAAAAATTTTGACGATCAAATATTTTATTTTATTCTATCTTACTGATTAGTTTGAGGAAGAAAAGAGAAACAGGTTAGAAAATGATAAAAATAATAATAAAATCATTAGTTTACACTATTTAAATAGTTAATGCTTTTCCAGCTGTTCTTGCAGACTGTCGAATTGGTATACCATCCTTCAAACCTTTCAAATATTTGTTATCATCATCATCAAGCTCTGTTTCAGGAGGCTCTTCCTTCACATATTTTGTCCCACCACTTTTATCAACTACATGCTCCTGCCCCACCTTTAAAATCACATTCAATTCCTTGTCCCCGAAACAAAAATCAATTACAAGAAAAAATTACCAAAGATATGCTCTGTTCCGACCCCTTTTCCTTCATTATATGTGTATATATATATATAACAAAAAAAAAATTACAGATACATGAACAAACAGAACCTCAAACAGTTCCTTAGGAAAATCGAGTTTCAATTCCTCCGGGTTCTCTTCTTTCGTTCCAATCCACCATGCCTCAGAAAATACAATCTGATTTTATCACCAAATGAATAAGTATGAGTGCTTGTTTCATAACTCATCCCCTTAAAATACATAGCAAGAGAGACAAAAACAAAAATTGTTCCAACAATTTGCTAGCTCGACGAAGGTCCTACATCATTAACAAATTACTAATCATACTAGCAAGAAAATGAGTAATGTAAGCACACAAACATTTAATTAGCCAAGTAAAAACAAGAACGAAAGAAACCATGTGATCAAAATAATCCTCACACACAACATTCTTTCCACTCCTAGAGAATTGCAATGTCAAACATCTGTTTCTTGGATACATAATGATCCCAAGCAACTTCATCCGTCCCTGTAATATAAAAACACAAATGATATGTCATTCATTCACAAACCTCATTTCACCATGACCATCAATACCCAAAAACACAACGACACACAAATCAAAAGCAAAAAAGAAACAAAACCCAGAAATTGTAAGTCAAAACCTGATGAAAATCGAGGCAAAGAACAGGGTTTTTAGAGGACAAGTCTTTGAGCTCGCCAATCTTGCCACAACCGTTGACAGGAGCGAGAAGACCAGGAAATGAAGGCAAGTACCTGTTTTTTCTTTGAGATTTCCTAATAATATCCTTACCATGTTGTTTAACAAAAAAATTTGATGGGTACAATGAATATGGAGCCCTGACTTGTGTGTATGTCTGATACCATGTTGTTGGTTATTGCAAGCTTTTTCAGTCTTTTTCTCTCTAACACGTCTGGGTTTTCTCTGTCAGAATTGCTGGCTTCTGTTTTCTTGGATTTCACCATTTAAAAAAAAAAAAATGCTTTGATGATGATGTTATCTGGATTTCTCACCAAAGGGTTTTTTTTTTTTTCTTGCGTTTTGGAGGCGGGAAGCTGCAATTTTTTCTCCTTTTTCCTCTGTAAACGCAACAGCAAGCTGGAGATTGAGTGATTTCGTTCTAGGGTAAGATAGGATTGGCCATTAAACTCTGGCTTGAAATTGGCCCATAGCTTGAGGTTTGCTAAAACAAGGGCTTCTCTTTAGATATGGACTCGTGGATAAATATTTTCGATTCAATACTTTTAAAAAGGGATGGATTCTAACATCTTTATTTTAATTGTCTTAATTATTTTGGATCAAGTAGTCACACATATTGTTAATAAGAATGATGATCTCACTCGAATTCCATAAATTTTAATCCATTCTAACTCGAATATATAAGATTTTTTTTCTAATCACTTAAATGAATATTAATAAGTATAAGCTCAATACAATAGTTTAGCTCATTTATTAATAGGAAGAGTTTGGATTTAAAAAGGGAAAATTAAACACCAAGTAAAGCCCAAGCCTTGTTGTATCAATAATATTTCTCAAGAAAATAAGGCTTTAGAATTCACCTTGTTATGATCCGTAAATAATTGTGTTGATATAACTTCGTGTAAAATCACAATTCTTTTATCAAGTTTAATTAACTTAGCAAGAAATCAAACTCAACATTGATTCACAATTTTTTTTAAAAAAAATATGAAGTTATTGTAGCATTTAAGACAATGAAGTTGTTTTTTACCAAAAAAATTAAAGTAAAATTGATATAACCACTTACATAATGATTAAGTTTATCAAAAAACAAAAACAAAATAACTAGATTAGAATTTAATGCACATTAGATAAAAATTAAAGTTCTCAAACTCTAAGATTATAGACTAAATTATAGAAAAATCTAGAAAAAATTTCTTGATATTTTTTTTTAACTTTAAATAATAGTCTTGACCTTCATAAAATAAATTACACATTTTTATTTATATTAATCCAAAAATGTTTATAAAAAATAATTTCTAATTAAAATTTTTCTAACTTATAGAGTCTATCTAGCAGTGAGATTTCTAAATATTAAAATACTAATTCAATTAAAAGTTTTAATCTAAGTAAAAAATAGATAATTAAAATCTAAACTTAACAAGAAAAATAATTAAAACAGAAAAATAATAACTTCAAGTTTTATATCAAATGCAAACTTATTTTCAAACTTGGCCTTGTCAATCTAATTCACAAACTCTTTGTTCTACATCAATCATCCTCACTTCAGAAAAATTTATCATTAAGTTATTAGTTAAAAATTAAACTTTTGTATTGTAGGGGAATAAATACTTTGAATATAATATTATATAGCTAACTTATTTATGAAGTAGCATGTTTTTGATATGTAAAAGTTTTTGCATATGCTGACATTTAATCAAGTTGATCGATTTTTTTTTTTTGGATTATGGTTGCTTGTTTTAATTTGATAATGTTCCATACATAACCTCCATCAAATTTATCTTCATCAACACCTTTTACAAAGATAAGTGATTGTCTAAATGTAATTTAGAAATATATATAAGATAAGGTTAGCATTGAGATAAGTCTCCAAATACATTCCTCTCCTCTCTTACAAGAATTCAAATACATTCCTCTCCTCTCTTACAATTTTTGTTTGTGCCTCTCGTTAAGTGAAAAGATATTCTTTATCATATGAATATTTATAGTCATACTAACTATGAGTATTTGAACAAACTAGGTCAACAATAGTTTGGTCGCCAGCATTATTTCTGGCTCGTGTCTCTTTTCCTCCTCAATTCATGTATTATGTACAACCTTAATATCTCAAGTTTGGTTTTAAGGTCATTAATTTTAGCATTAATGTCATCAAATCTAGTTTGTATTTAATATTCTAAAGCTGAAATTGCTAATGAATTGTGGTTTAGCTGATCCCTAATAGTCTGCATCCCTTAATCATTATTATAGAGATAGTTGCCACCAATTGTTCCATTATTATCTTTATAATTTGTTATTGAACCGAATATTGACTTATTCTAATAACACCTGATATAGAGTATAAGAAAAATAGAATTAAAGGTCTCAAGCCCTAAAGTTATAAATCAAACTATAGAGAAATCTAGAATAATATTTCTAATATTTTTATTAACTCCAAATAATAATCTTGATCTCTATAAAATAAATTAGATATTTTTATTTATTTTAGTTTTAAAATTCTTTATAGAAAATGATGCATAATCAATACTTTTTTAACTAATATAATCAATTTAGTTTTAGGATTTTTAAATAGTAAAATAATAATTAAATTAAAAAATTTAAACCAATTAGAAAATAAACAACGGTGGTTCCCACCCTCCACTTCATTGGTGTTTATGTTGTCCTTTCTCTTGAGAAGGACCTCAACAGGGAGGCTGATGCATTCATTCGCCACTGTTTAAGGGGTTTGCAGGTTTAGTCTTCCCTTTCTATTCACTTTCTCATTACTATAGCACCCTATATTGCAGGCAAAACTGATACATACATCGTCATTGTTTCCGCCACGTTTCCTTCCATCAAATTTCATCATCTACCCCCTGTTACTCCAGTTTCCACCACTGTAACCCACCATGAAGAACTTACTTTAGAGATCCTTCGCCTTAGCAACCATTATGTTCATCAACAACTCCTCAACATATCGAAAATTAAGGTACAATACTCATGGCCTTATTATGGACTTCATTTGCACTTCTGGTCTTTGTGTAGCAGCTGAACTTGACATCCCTCTTTGTTTTTCATTACATCTGCTGCTTGCTTTCTTTCCTTTTTTCTCTACTTCCCTACCCTTCATCAATCTTATACAGAAAGTTTCAGACATATGAAAGACTTTCTTGATACTCCTAGCTTGCCACCAATCCTTGCCACTGATGTGCCAAAGCCTTTTCTTGACCGAGACAACAAGGCCTGTATACTTACTTGATGTTGCCTCTCAATTCCCTCAAGTAGCAAGGATTATGATCAATACATTTGAATTGCTAGAGTCCAAAGCTGTTAAGGCAATGTCAGATGGACTCTGTGTGCCTAATAATCGCACACCGCCAATTTCTTGCAGCGGTCCAGCCACTACAGTTGATGCCGAAAGGCGTGGTAGCAGCAAGACCAGTCCTGATGATGATGTGCCTGAGTGTTTAATTTGGCTAGACTCCCAACCAAACCAAAGTGTTGTGTTTCTTTGTTTTGGTAGTTTGGTGCTGTTTACTATAGAGCAGTTAAGGGGAATAGCTATTGGATTGAAAAAAAATGGCCAAAGATTCTTGTGGGCGGTGCGCAATTTACCTACTAAAAATCACAGAACAGGGAGACTCTGATTTGGATTCTTTGCTTCCTGATGGTTTCTTAGAGCATACTAAAGAGAGGGGACTAGCAGTGAAGTACTAAAAATCACAGAACAGGGAGACACTGATTTGGATTCTTTGCTTCCTGATGGTTTCTTCGAGCATACTAAGTAGAGCGGACTGGCAGTGAAGTTATGAGCACCACAAGTGGAAATCTTGAACCACAGTTCGGTCGGTGGATTTGTGACACATTATAGGTGGAATTCTACACTTGAAGCAATGCCAATGGTGGCTTGGCCATTGTATGCAGGAAACTGGCTGAATAGGAAATTGTTTGCGGAGAAAATGAAGCTTGCTCTGTAAATGTTATGATTACGAATAAATTATTTATTTTTGTTTTTTAAAATTTAAAATTATTTTGTTCTTATTTTAAACTAATTTTTTTAGTTTTTTAAATTTTTTATATATTATATTAAAAATAAAAAATATTATTTTAATATATTTTTTTAAAAAAATACTTTAAAAAACAATATTAATAAAAGAAAGCTAGACTGGTGATGGATTCCGAGGAAGGTAAAATGATCAGAGGGTGAGCAATTGCTATGAAAGGTGGAGCCATGCATCATGAAAAAGGAGCCAAGCCAGCTGGCTTTCTGACAATTCAGGTATTAAGATGCTTTTGTCAAGTGCAAGAACTTATTGTGATGTCAGAATCATTATTTATTATTTATTATTTTACTTATTTTTTACGTAAAGTGAATATTCGTTAACTATATAAATTTAGAAGCACTTAGTTGATAAAATTATGAACGTATAAATACTAAAAAATTTAAAATATTAAGCATAGCTTGACATATCAACATGTCATGTATCCATTTTAATGGTCGCAATAGTACATACATTATTAATAAAATCTAACAAGACCATTCAATTAAAAGAAATTTGGAAATTCAAACGTTAAAATAGTCAAAATAAAAATAAAAAATATTGAAAAATTCAAACACTAAGTCAAGGTGGTAGGTTTCTTGCTCCCATGAACACTCTACCATTACCAGCAGCAGTATATCACTCCACAAACCATTTTCACTTCCAAACTTTGAATATGTTCCTCAGCAAGCCCACAATGAGCAGAAGAAACCCTTAAATAATGTAACTGAGTTGACTATCATGGACGCACAAGCATCCATATCATTAAACTTTCCTATCTTCCTCAACAACGGCGCTAACATGGTAGGCCGCCGCCGCCGCCGCCTTGGTCTCATCGGAAAAGAGCTCGAGATATTACATCGTTAAATGAACTCAAATTAATATTTTTAATTTAAACTATTTAGTTTAATATTTTCAAAAAATTGCCATTGTTAACTTAATATTTTTATGAGTTTAATTATATCAATTGAATCATAAATTAATTTATCATATTATATAAATTTAATTAGATTATTATTAAAAACATTTCAAATTAAAACTCAACGAAGATCTACGAGTTGGAGAAGGAGAATAACTAATCTTCTAAACACAAGTCAAAAGAAGCATAGATGATTGAATTTCAGTTTTGGCTGATCATGAGAATAATTAAGAAAATTGCCTTTTAACTATTTGGCATACCCCTAGTGAACTCTCATGGAGAATCCTACCATGGTGAACATTCTTGTTTTATTCTTGAAGAAATAAGGCTATGCAAAACAGCACCATAACAAGTGATGATATTACAAGCAAAACCAGAAAAAACAGTACAGCAACTAGATGGTCATGACAGCTGATATATTATATCAGTTCTAAGTGAATTTTATTTTCCATGCTTCCATGATTCAATGAGCATGGAAAAGGCTGTATAAGAAGAACCACCTGCATCCATTGCAGCCTTGGCTGCATTCTTCATAGCA